AAAACGAAAGTTAGTGAAATACTACAACGAGGCACATCATATCCATGATATTCTCATTATGCCTTATAGATGTAGAAGCTAAAAAGTTTCATGTAAATTTGGTTGTTCTTTCAACTCCATGGAAAGAAGATCTTACAGATTCGTCTTCAGTCGTCTTCAAGTCATTTGAGAAGGACATTTGCACAGAGGTACGTTCTCGATACCATTTCATTTGTTAGTCAATCTAAATTTTTCTTCGGGCAACTGCGGCACCGATGAAACGAATAAAAATCCATTACTTTCTTGGGGCATCGTAGAAACCGCTCTCTAAATGATAATTTTGCGTGCTTTACTTKTTTCTTGTATTAAGCATATTGATAGTCTTCTAATATTTCACTGCTACTTTAGATGCGCAATGCATTTGGCCAGAAAATGCTGTTATGTAAACTCCTCGAAGCAAGGTAAACTATTTTTTAATGAGAGAAAGTAAGAACACACACGTACGCGTGCACATTATTTATTGTTGTCATTTATGTAACATATTGCCACAACTTTTAACATGAAGCTAGTTTTTTTGACAACTTTTGATTTTGTCTTTGAAGGATAATGCCGTTTAAATTTTGTTTATAACTTTCTTTGCTTCATAGCTAATGATTGCTATATTGCAGGGTGAAAGGACGGCGTCAGTAAGGGTGGATGCCCATATGCAGTCCAAGCATGCATGTCTAGCCTAGACATGCATTCTTGGACTGCATGAGCAGCCACCCTTAACTAGTGCCGTGCTGCTTTTTAAAATATTAGACGGTGCTCGTTTATTTTTAAGCAAAGGAAGTGTTGTCACCATCACCGAACTTGTCTTCAATGGGACAAAGATGGAGAGCGAAGTAATGGGAACGTTAGCTAATGCAACAGTCAACGGGACGCTGGGGAAACTTCTTCTAAAAGCGTCTGCAGGATTCAATGCATCTGCACAAATAGGTAAGTTCAGATTATAGCTCAGTTAAATGAAGCATCCATAACTCTTAAAAATAATGGCAGCTAACAAACATGGCATTTTAGGGGGGGGGGGGGGAAGGGGAGTTTGCATGCGTTCTATTGAACTAAACTTTTTTGTCCAAGACTGTGGGCTGCGAGTTGAAGCTTGCNTGCTACTGATGATTTTAATGAAATTTTCTCCAATGTGAAAAAATGACTTAAAACTACCCGCCCCTCCCCCCAAAGTTTTTGTTGTCGAAAAAGTATTATGGTATTGTAGAGTCAGCAATGGGAGCAAGCTCAAATAGGTAAAAGATGCATAATAAAACAAGAAATAAGCTTTAAAAATGAAAAATTAAGCATATTTTATATTTTTGAAAACCTATGTGTCAAAAACTGGTTGCCATGGCACCATGGATGACGTTATAATCAAAACATTTACATCAAAATCTGTCTATATAAATTTTAGGAAAAGTCCGAATGTTTCAGAGCTGTATCTGTCTTGGTTCAAAAGTTATTGGCATTTTACTCGACGGGGGGCTCAAAAGACCCCCTCCCCCCAGTCTGAATAGGGTTAAAGTAAAACTATGGTACTAATCGATCTGAGAGGCCAGTGTTGACTATCGTTGCCTTGCACAGTGCAACAACGCTAACCCAGTCATTTCCCTTGCACTTTTGGTAGCATTCACTGAAAAAAATCGCGCGCTTTAAAGGTTGTATAGATTTGATGTAAATCTCAATTTTACAACCTTTAATGCGCCTGATTTTTTTTCGAGTGTTCTAAGACAAACTTGCGCTCAAGCTCGCTGACGTTAATTCTCTTTATCTTTAACAAAACGACAACATAAGCAGTCAAAACTGCACATATAAAACATTTATTGTTTGCTTTTACAAACATTGCAACGTGCACACTAAGGAAAAACACTTCGTAACGCGAAAAAAATCAAAACGTTTTTGTGTCTAGTTTTTGCAAACAAGGACAACAATTTAATACAAGCTTTTATTATATATATAACGAGACTTTCATAGAGTAAATGGCATAAATAGAAATCTATATGCTATATTTTCACATGTGAAAAAGGCGATATGTCCAATCAGAAGCGCGTATAGCATTTCTCACACTGTAAAAATATAACCAATCACAACACAGAAAAACCGTAATCAGCCAATCAGAAAGCGACGTTCACAACACTGAAATGGCTTCTCTTAGTCACATACCGCGCGTTGATGGCAAAATGGCTGAAGGTGAACTGTGTTTGTTGATCAAAATTCCACATTTGAAGAGTTTATTAGTGGACAGGAAGGCAAACAAACTAAAGAAAAATAAGAAGAGATGTTTTTCTTCAAGAGAATTAAGTTTTTTACCATCCAGAATGAACACGAAAGCATGGAAAACATCAGCCAAAACTATAACTATAACGAAGAGAAATTTGTCTCGTTGGTGTTTACCATGAGTTCAGGCCGTTTTATACCAAGTTTTGATCGTTTTCTGCAAAATTTAAACTTATCTCCATGCGATATAGAAAGACAGGACTTCAGTAAGACAAGAGATGTACCTGTAGGAAAGCAAAGTCAGCTCAAACGAAGACGGAAATTGCAGCGCGTTATCTTACATACTGACCAAGAGAAGTAGTTTTCACGACGAAGAACTGTTAACTTATTTGTTCCTCTACTTACTATAAAATCTCACGAAAACTTGGACGTTCCTGCAGCTTAGTGGAAAGTAAGACTATTAATTTAGTTGTTTTTTGTAAGCCTTAAGTTTTATCAAGTTAATTTATTAAGTTTAATTAACTTATCTGTGCATTTTTTTCGACATAAGGTCATTGAGTTTGTTTCTTAAAATAGTTGAACAAGCTTATTAAAAAGTATGCCGAATGAAAGTCTCGTTATATATATAATAAACAGCTTATAGCATGGAAAGTGCTTTGTACGGGATTTTATTCACTCGTTGTTTGCATCATAAACTCACTCGCTCGTTCCTCGCTCGTTCGTTGTATGATGCAAACAACTCGTGAATAAAATCCCGTACGTCGCACTTTCCATGCTATAAGCTGTTTATTATATATATAACGAGACTTTCATTCGGCATACTTTTTAATAAGCTTGTTCAACTATTTTAAGAAACAAACTCAATGACCTTATGTCGAAAAAAATGCACAGATAAGTTAATTAAACTTAATAAATTAACTTGATAAAACTTAAGGCTTACAAAAAACAACTAAATTAATAGTCTTACTTTCCACTAAGCTGCAGGAACGTCCAAGTTTTCGTGAGATTTTATAGTAAGTAGAGGAACAAATAA